ATGAAATAATTTTCATACGCACAAAAATCCTTTGAAATGCCAGCGTACGAGTACCGTACATCTGGCGTACCTCTAGCGTATTCAGCGTGTGCCTAGAGTATGCTTATCGTATAAAGCATACGTCCGATACGCACAAAATTTTTGAGCATGCTTAAAAAATGTTCTGCCTCGCCGTATGCCACCGTATGCGACCGTGCTTGAAACGTATACAACCTATACCCTATAACGTAGCCCTAGCGTATGTCAGCGTATACCGGCGTATGAGTGATATTTTTCTTCCCCTGCAGACGCTAGTACGATACGCAATAGTGTCACAAGGCCTTTAGCTGCGCTCATGTGAACACGGGCTTAAGTGTTTCTTCGGCAATTTACCCTGGCAAACTCACCTTAACCCCTGCAATTTCAATCATAAACATGGACGCCCCTAACACATGGCCAGCATGATAACACCAGAATTTAATGCCATTCACTTCTTTTTCCTATAAAGGAAGAAAATAATATGTCCACATATCTATACTTACGTGGCAATTTTTTGCCGAAATCTTTACTGAATTTATGCCTCTCAATTTTTTAAAAATATTTTTTTGTCCACTATATTAATTTTTTGCCAAATGATAATATTATCCACTATATGCATTAAGTAACCAATTTGTTATCAACATTTATAGCTAAATACATTATGGTAATTTGAACATTTATATCTGAATATACAGCCAAGTAAAAAAAAGTTGTCCTTTGCGAACCTTTAAACTCTAAATTTTACACTCTAAACGCGCGTAATGGGAGCACAAGTTTCAAGCTTAGTAGTAGTAGTGGCAGAATGATAAATCAATATTTCAGGTTTCTAATAACCAATTTGTTATCAACATTCACAGCTAAATATATAAGTACTAGATAAAACATGAGGAGCCGATCTGTATCTGATATACAAACTCGAGCCGAAGCGCGAGACATATTATTAGTACTGATAAAGATCCGGGCTTACGGATCGAAAGCTTTGCAGTAATAAATTTACGTGGTGTTTCCACAAACAAAACTATTATATCATAGATAAAGATCGGATGCGAATGTTTTATCGTACTTAAAAAATGACCCATCTTATGAATTCATTGGCGAAGTAATTTTAAAAGTAAACATTGTCTAAGCCGAGAAAATCAAAGATAAAGATTATGTAAATCAGGACAAATCTTTATCCGATTTACAAACATCGATTAAACATTCATTTCTTTTGTATTTTCCTCGTGAATTATTAATCAATATTTTAATGGTAATTTGAACATTTATATCTAAATATACAGCCAAGTAAAAAAAGTCGTCCTTTGCGAACCTCAAACTCTAAATTTTAAACTCTAAACGCGCAAAGCGTAATGGGGGCACAAGTTTCAAGCTTAGTAGTTGAATATTACAGCTACATATTTGTGAATGAATTGTTCTCATAAGGAAAGAGCTCTAAGAAATGGGCCCCATATATGATTTCTAAACTGATTAAATGATGCTCCCATGATTATGCTTTGCACGCTTAGATAATAAAGTTTAAGATTTGCAAAAGACAACCGTTTTTGAATTAGCTGTATAATAGTAATTTCAACCGTACTTCAGCGGCAGTTTAAGTTGTATTAATGTTACCTCATGGAAATGAACGGTTTCAATTTTATCCATGCTTTTTTCCAAGTCTTTTTCAGTGAATAACATTTGGTCAGCAGTCATATTACTAAACAAAGAACAATACCAATGGTTTGTCTTTGGTTTTGTTGCAAACACCAAAACGTCAGCAAGGTTTCAGAAGCGCGAGATTTAAAAGCATGTTTATTTTACGAAATGTAAAATAAAATGAGAAATAAAAACATCTTCAGTTTAACTTGTAGAGCAGAGGTAAGAAGTTTATCACGTCGAGCAGCAAAACGCGGTTCATTCTGAAACAGCTGTTCGTTTTAAGGGAAAAGGGGAGACGTTCTGTATCTTGTCAACTTACCTAACTTTTACAAAATCCGACAAGAGCCATCTGAAAAGCAAGGAAATTGACTTTAACGATTATTTTATTGCTCGATAATGACTCACTTCGACCAGGAGTTCGTTCAATCACCAAAGCTATATCAAGAACTTTCAGTTTCTATTGTTATTTCGAAAGGTATATTTTTATTGCGGGCTCATTATCATGACGTACCAATTATCTCTAGATCGCCTGCTACACTCTTAAAAACGCACAAGTTGTTACAAATCTGTTCACAAGCTGTCGACAAGTTGTGTTCGCACTGCTTGTTCCCAGTTGTTGTAACGAGTTTGAAACAAGCTGTTTCACAACTTGGCACAAGCTTGATGGCATCATCAGACTTGTTGCAAGGTTGTTCTAATAAGTCTGATACAATCAAAATATAAGAAGAATGTTACAAGGTTGACGACACAAGGTTGTAACAATAATGTTATATCATGACTGTATCGGACTTATTGGAATAACCTTGTAACAAGTCTGATAATATCGGCAAGGTTGTTACGATTTTACCGACTTTGGTTTCAATCCCTGATTTACAGTTTAAACGGCGCAGTTCAAAAGCGAAATATGACCCATTCCGAAGTGTCAAAATTGGTAGATATTGGTAGGCAGATTTTCATTAAATAAGTAATGAGTACTAAGCATAGATATCTTATATACACTAGATAGTGCATCTAATTATTCTGAAGTTCAAAAATTGAAGCCGTGATTGCAGTCTCAGGTCGTTCCCATGAAATTAGAAGATTCGTATGTTTTCTATTTCTTAAACAGGGAACTTAAACATTAAGTTAACCCTATTCCAAATTCGTTTTTAAAATATTCAAATGATGAAAATTATTGTTGTTTTTAAGCGTTTATTAGCAAGTGGGAACGACCAACATGGCCGCCATCTATTCAAATGGGGGTAACCGCTGGAATATTGTTGGCTTCAATTTTACTAAAAGAAATGCGCTATCTAGTGTATATAAGATATCTATGGTACTAAGCTTTCAAATACTGCACAAATTACTATCAAATGTACGCTACAGTACTTTTTTTATTTTAATACATTTCAAAAAATGTTCCGTACCTATAAATAGCCTTGGTAGGATGAGTCATGAACACGCGTCCTTTAAATGTTGTCTGTAAAAATTAAAGCAAATATATAAATGGGCCTTACGGAACTTGTAACTAAACATGCAGTTTAGAACATCTTAGGGCCAGTTTAGAAGGTGAACATTTCATGCGCCAACTGCTTTAGACGTTGGAATTAAGGTGGCTATTGAGCCAAGTAATAATCCAAAATTGTCTGAAATGTTTTTAATGGTTTCTAAATTTCAGACAGCAACCAGAAACGAAGTTTTGAACCCATATTGATCGCTTACTCTCAAGATGAAAAATTAGCGTGACCCCTCTCTTGACGCAACAAGACGAGTTTTATCAATCAAAATATTCTATATATATCCTTTACCTTTTCAAGGAACCACGGTAAACCGCCACAATGATCCAAGTGAAAACTTTAAACAAAATGTACATCCATAATTATTATTAATATATTTGTAGCAATAGCAGAGATATTCAGGGTGGGCTATCACAGGAAAAAGTTTTAAATTTCTACTGATGGGTTTTTGAATGGTTCTTAAAGATTTACCATGTACAGTACACTATCAATGTAAAAACTCTTCTAATTGATTATTATACCGCGTGTGTCCCCAAAAAACTGGACATGTTTTATGTAACGTAAAATCTATAAAAGCTATCGCAATGAAATAAAGATCATTGCATTAACAAAGGACTGACTTAAATTTTGATATATAACACTTGAATTTACATGCAATATTGACTGCGTTATGTACTGTTTAATAGTAGCGGAGTGTTTTATATGTGATAAAACACGAACTACGAGTTTATTAAACAGCTTCAAAAACGTCTCAGTTAGATCACGGCATTGGCGAAATAATTTTCCAAAATAACTTTGTATTAGCTGAGAAAATACAAGTTGAAATTTGAAGCGTGTTTTATCACATATAAAGACACGCCACGCTTATGATTTCTCTTTGTGTTTTCCTCATTAATTATTAATGAGTTTTTGAATGATGTTTAAACATTGAACTACTGTTTGTGAAAATGCCAAATATTGTTTGAAATTAGTTTAATTAGCCAAATTTTACCGGTTTTCACCAATTCCTAAAACGCATTCCAAATTCGAACAGTTGTATCTTGCTCAACATTGCATGCAAATTCAAGTGTTATATATCAAAATCTAAGTTAGTCCTTTCTGAATCCAATGATCTTTATTTCATCGCGATACCTTTTATAGCTTTTACGTTACATGAAATCAAACAGCAAAACTTTCATAATAGCTGCTGAAATTTTACTTTTTTTACAATAACAACATGCAAATTAGGAGTGACAGGCATTCGTGCCAAAAATATTACACAATTTCAAACACATAATGCGAAATTTTATGGTAAGCATACTGAATTCTCAGATACTCAAACCCGAATCCTGGTATCTTTTAAATTTCGGACCCTGCCTTGAAATGTTTTAATATGTACAGTACTGCTCTTACTGGCTGATAAGCAAAAGATCAATTTCTTCTGCATCTATTTCATCGACAAACGGTAAACTGTCAAGACCATTGTATCCAGGATGTATCCCAAAATCCAACTGAAAATAGAGTAAGATATGGCATAAAATATACACAATTTTCAAAACTCAAATGCAATGGTTAATGAATTCATGTATTAGGGTATTTGGAACACTTCCTGACGACAGATCTATTTCTACGCTAGAAACCTACAAGAATATGTAAAGTTATCCTGTAACCTTAATGATTACATACAAAGCTGCATACTTACCATAACTTTCTTCCCTTTGAACTCTAGAATATGACATGATCTCCCGACCTCCTGGCCAGCTCCCCTGGAAACAATCACAGGAATTATTTTACAAAAACATTAATGGCTTTGAATTCAACACTAGGCACTCTGACAGGAAACAAAACTGCGACACATACAGATAATATATACCGGGTGGCGTAAATTTCATATCTGATTTAGCATAACTTAAAAACAAAAAGAGCTACCACACTTAAACAAGATACATTCCATTCAGTAAGGGCTTAAACTTTGATATACGCCATGCGTATTTTCATGCAATACCGACCGAGATAGCTTTTAAGTTGAATAAACATTTTGGGCAGTGTCCAGCATTAGCTAAAAACGGCCTGTTAAAGGTGGTTTGCATAAAGGTGTAATTTGACACTTGCCCACTTGCCCGGGGCAAGTGAAAATCATGACGAGCAAGTAAACGTTTTATCTTGCTTGCCCGATTGGCCAAGTTGCCTTGCCACAAAAAGTTGGGCATCTTTAAGTTTATGTTTTTATTGTCGGATATAAATTTTTATTGCTACAAATTTTGTTTTTTGCGAGCCAAAGCTAGATCTGAGGCAGTATAACATAGCCATATAGAACAGTGGGAGAACGGGTAGACATGTTGTCCCCTTAATTTATACCTCCTAGTCCCTACCTAAGTACCCCAGTGGCCATTGTCTGATGGTAAGTGAATTGTATTTTAATCAACTAATTTTCATGTCCAACTTGCCACTGAAGGCAAGTGCCCAAAAAGTAAAGTTACATCATTGAACTTGTTAACAAGCTTGCTACAAACCTATTGCAAACACATCTTGTTGACAAGTTGTTGGAACATCATTGTCACAACTTGTTAACAAGCCTGCTACAAGCCTGTTGAGGAGATATCCTGTTGACAAGTTGTTGGAACACCATTGCCAAACTGGTCAACAAGCTTCCTACAAGCCAGTTGCGGAGATATCTTGTTGACAAGTTGTTGGAACAGCATTGTCACAACTTGTTAACAAGCTTGCTACAAGCCTGTTGCAGAGCTATCCTGTTGACAAGTTGTTGGAACAGCATTGTCGCAACTTGTTAACAAGCTTGCTACAAACCTGTTGCAGAGATATCCTGTTGACAAGTTGTTTGAACAGCATTGTCGCAACTTGCTAACAAGCTTGCTACAAGCCTGTTGAGGAGATATCCTGTTGAAAAGTTGTTGGAACAGCGTTGTCACAACTTGCTAACAAGCTTGCTACAAACCTGTTGAGGAGATATCCTGTTGAAAAGTTGTTGGAACAGCATTGTCACAACTTGTTAACAAACTTGCTACAAGCCTGTTGAGGAGACATCCTGTTGACAAGTTTTTTGGAACAGCATTGTCACAACTTGTTAACAAGCTTGCTACAAACCTACACACGTAAAAACGCTCAAGTTGTAACAAGTCTGCAAACAAGTTGTCACAGGTCTGTTCACAAGCTGTCAACAAGTAGCCCGCGTGCAGGCCCAAGGGAACTGATAGTGGGCCTGCAACCATCGCCCGGTATTTTGTAAAACGCCCCTTTTCATAACACGCCCCATACGCGCGTCAATTGTCAAAACAGAACCAATGACAGCACCCAAATATTAACAAACAAACTCGCATTCAAATGTTGCGGGGTTTTCTCTGCTTTAATATTCAAAATAGAAACAATGTGTAAATGCCTGTGTTAAAACTCCAAAAAAGCAAGCAACGCAGTCAGTAATTGCCAAATTTACAAGTGCTCATTTTCAACTAAAATCGGAACAGGCAAATTAAGACGAATTTCAACAGAAAACCAGTCTCAAACTTCAAATCGTGAGGGAAGTCGTGCGACCACATCAGCATTTATAATGTGTGCTTCGTTGTCGCCATTGTTATAAATAAATTGTCTCACTTATCAGATCGTGTGTGCAATTCTTCTTGGCGGAGTTAACTACGAAATTTATTTCAGTTATTTCATTTGGTGAGAACTCTACAAAAGAAGAGAGCGCTCAGAGTCCAGATCGTTTCGTTTCAAACGGCAATTTAATAC